GTGTTTGCGTGTGTGTCTGAAGGTGTTTGTTTGTGTATGACATGATACAACGCTGATATAATTTGATATAACGTAAAATATAAAGCATGTTATAACTCATTCTACATGTAAACAGCTTATTAACAATGTTATAGATTAAATGTAGAAGTTCTAGCCTGAAAGTGACAGAAGCTCCAAGTTTATACATCTTGAAACAATCTCAAAAATGGCAATATTTGTCGTTTCTGTACAGCCATCAATCACTAGCTTTTTAAGTTCGACGCATCTATGAGCTACAACGAACAATCCCTTATCTGTCAACCTTCTAGATCCTGCTAGATTGATATTCTCCACAATGACGCACGTTTTTGATGAATCACAGCTGAGTGCAGTTGTTACACATTTCAATGCTCTGTCCACGTCTAACCTTGGGTTATGAATGCGTATACTTGACCATAAAACTGGACTCCACACAAGTTGATACCATCTTTTGCACACCATTGCACATTTGCATAAGTCGTTACTGTGTAAGTATTGGAAGATGGTTGTAACAAGATGGTCTTGCAAGTTGTCGAAATTGTGAAAGTTTGAAAAAGTTTGGTTTTGCTGGCCAGAAGTGGTCGTCGAGAGAGGATTCGGTTGTTTTGCAGTGTAAATTTTATGTTTGTCTTCCCGATTGTATGAAATTGTTTCTGGGGAGAATGAAATTTTACGTTGAAACTTGTGTTTGTGAGTTTGGTTGACTAATGAGACTTTGTCGCTATTTTTAGATGACGAAGAAGAATATGGCGCTTTTTGGACGTGTTTGCAAGGAATGTTACTATCAGGTGATGTATGTTGTGGTAGCGTTGAAGGATGAAATAATGACTTGATCTGCTTTTTTATTCTCCCTTCGTTTTTCCCCAAAAGTGGTTGATAGTTTTGGTCGACTAAAATTTTATGGTTTGAATGAAATGTTTCTTGTTGTTGAAAGTCTGATATATTTTCGTAAAATGGATTGCTTAGAGGTGTTGTTGTTGGTGTTGAAGATTTTGAAAGAAAATGCTTTTTTGGTGTTGTTGGCGGTTTTGGTGCGATGTTTGGAGTTAAGGAACATTTCGCTTTAGAGGAGAAAATTTTTTTTGAGGATGTCGTTGGCTGTTTGGTGTTTGAAGTTTCTCGTCTGCGCAATTAGGTAAGATAAATGTTCGTATTAATCATTTTCTAAATGTTGGTGTTGATAATACAAAATTAAAATTTCTAAAAAATTGAAATAAAGTAGTTGAAATAAGTTAAAATGAAATTAAAATGGACCGACTCGATATTAAGAGAGGGCGAAGGTGTCGTTGTTAATCTCCTTCTATTCCATTTCCCATCTGGGCCGTTGACAAAGTCACCTTCATAGTTACATATTTGATGTTCTTTGTTGTCCAACTTCTTTGAGAACATTCTCTCACTGATGATGCGAATTTCAGTCGATTCGTCATCATCGTCATTTGCCGCAAAAATTTTTTTGCCACAACTTCTACTCCGTAATTTCGTTTTTTGATTAAGTGGAAAACTTGAATTCGTCTTGGAAGGTTGATAGTTCACGTTTGGGATTACCAGAGTCTTGTCGTGGTTGCTTGAAAAGATGTCACTGTTGTTGTTGCTAGGCGGTTGCAGTTGCAGTGGCTGTTGGTGGTGGGTTGTGGATGAGACTGTATCGGGATAGTCGCTGAAGATTGTGTGGTTGTGTTCGTCTGAGACTATGCCCGAACTGGACTCTGGAGTTGAGTTTATCACTGATCGTTTTTCTGTCGGTTGAAATAATTTATTTTATCATAAATTTTACCTCCCCCCCCTCTCTCTCTCTCTCTTTCTCTCTTTCTCTCATCTTCTTTTTTCACACACACACACACACACACACACACACACACACACACACACACACACACACACACACACACACACACACACACACACACAATACTCACACACGCGCGCATACAAATTCAAATACACAAACACATGCATATCTAATAGACTTGAATGACTGAATGAATGAATAAAGGAAAGTACAATTAAACGATCGAATGAATTAATCAATAAACGACATTAAACAAATGAATGAATGAATGAATGAATGAATGAATGAATGAATGAATGAATGAACGAACAGACAGACAGGCAGACAAACAAACAAACAAACAAACAAACAAACAAACAAACAAACAAACAAACAAACAAACAAACGATTAAATACACATTTTAATTTAACCATTATTATAGCTTTCTCCACCAGAAGCATTAGCCACTTTATTCCATTCATCAACTACAGCGCTATCATTAATTTTAATGATTAGTTTATCATGAACAGTAGACATATTTACATTTATTTATTTATTATTGTCTATATTATTTTAATATTTATATTTTTTTTGTTATCATTTATATTAGTTTATTATTTTAATAATTTCATCCTTACTACACTGGTTAAACTTTGAATACTATTCAAAACAACATTGTAGTATTAGTAGTAGTGGTAGCAGCAGCAGCAGTAGTATTAGTATTGGTAGTAGCAGTGGTAGTAATAGTAGACGTAAGAGTAGTAGCTGCAGTTATAATACTAGTAATAGTAATAATCGTATTTCTTATCTAATCAATAAAAGGTTGAAATTCAGAAAATTTAATATAACAGGTCTGAACATGTTGTTATGAAAGTTTAAATTTATTTAGCTGCAGTAATAGTAGAAGAAGTAACAACAGAAGCAGTAGTAGTAGTAGTAACAGTAGTAAATATAACAAAAACAATAATGCCAACAATAATTTTCAGTAATTAAATGTTAATTTATCGAATTCGATCCTATTAAAAATATTCGAAACCTTGCTACTGTAGGATAATTTTAATTAATGGTAATAATAACAAGAATGATAATAATAATAACATTAATAATAACCATAGTAACTATAACAATAATATCATTATTATTAGCAATAATATTTATAATAATAACAATAATAACTATAATAACTATAATAATAATAATAATAATTTAGCCAATAACAAGCAATTTCTTATAGCCTGAGAAAGTAGCAATTATGTTAAATTGAGGAAATAATATCCATATATTGATACAATACATACAAACATACATACATACATACTGTACATACATACATACATACATACATACATACATACATACATACATACATACATACATACATACATACATACATACATACATACATACATACATACATACATACATACATACATACATACATACATACATACATACATACATACATACATACATACATACATACATACATACATACATACATACATACGTAC